TTATCTCCTTTAGTATGCGAAACTCTACCCAATCAACGCCGTCTCTTTCACTAATAGCTCATAGTAGCTGTAATAATAAATTCTGTTCATGTCCTTCCATCACCAAAACTGCTTCTATAAAATATTTGGAGGTAATATTAGACCAAAATTTAACCTTTCGTGAACATATACTTATGGTTTGTGCCAAACTCAGAAAACTAAGCTTTATTTTCAAAAATTGCTGAAAGAGGTATACTTAGCTCTTGCTCAATCAATCCTGAACTATTGTATTACTGTGTGGGGAGGTGCATCAAAATCGATCTTAAAACCCCTTGAAATAGCACAAAGAGCAATCCTTAAAGTATGCACATTTAAACCCTTACTTTCCCCTACGTTTCAGTTATATCAATCCTTTGGAGTACTCATTGTTCGTCAACTATTTATTTTAAACACAGTGTTGAAACAACATTCGTGCTTATCTTATAATAAAGATCTCTTGTTATCTAAACGAAGAAAAGATAAAGTTTGCAAAAATAGACCTATTTCTAGTCATTCTTTCGTTAATAAATATTTTTATTACCTTGGACCACTCCTTTATAATAAATTCACTAAAAAGACTGAATTGTACTCTTTAAATAAAAATAAATGCAAAATTAAATTTTTTCATCAGTTAAACTTTGAAGAAACTGAAGCATTACTTACTACTAGTTAATGTTACTTACACACCCTCTTACACACACTCATGCATTTAACATATTATACACAAAGAGATACATATTAATACACATTATACCATTTTTTTATATCAAAACACATTTTGTTATGTTTAAGATTCACATTTTATCTGTTGTATACCTTCTATTTAAGTTATACTTATGTTAGTCTGTTGATATGTAATAAGGAAGAGCACTGTGATCTGAGATACAGATATATATTTATCTAGTTCAGACACAGATGTTCCATCATTCTTTGTGAACTAGGTATAGATCATAGAATAGTTATTTATAAATGTGATAGCTATGCAAGTTTTGAAAATAAAGTATTAAGTATTAAGACCCAGCTCGACTGCTACCAGCGAAAGACTACAGTGTACCGATGAACCAACTACAAAAAAACATCAGCCGATTGTACCCTAACCACAACCGTGAAATAAAATAATGACAATGTGGATCATCTGCCGCGATTTGTGGACAGCTAGTCCGCCTCAAAAAGCCATCATCCGACGTGCTCCTCACGCTGCTGCACCATGTGTGTAAAATGCAATATGTACCTGTGTGCTCAAAAATAATTGTTTTATGGGTTACCACACAAATAAAAACTTCGGCTCACATTGAAACCTAAGGTACACATATGTGCACCATGGTTTTTTTAATTGTGTAAAAAAATTTTTGGATAACAAACGTGTGTCTTATTTTATTATACGCCTACAACTATAATAAACCATAAAAAAATCACATTTGGTTCAAGTTCAGGTCTTAAGAGGTTATACCTATGAGTCGATGTCTGATAAGCATCGTGCGACAAACTTCTAGACGAAGAGTTCTATAGTATACCTAAGCAGCTCATTAGTAGTTTAAAGTCAGGATTGACAGCAAGATTCCGTAATGTTGAAAGAAGCGGAACTTTTGCTTTTTGCACTTTCTTAGATCCCAGATACAAACTCGCAATATTTTCTGATGACAATGAAGCCAAAAATACAAAGAAGAATATTCTTGACCTAGTAACTGCAATGATAGTACAGAAGACCAGACAGATAAAGCACCCGTTTCGGCATTTAACAAAGCGACGATAAATTTTCCCCATGGGCCATTCCAGGTGAAATAGTAGAAAAAACACATAGTTGGAACCCCGTTGTCAAAAGCCATTAAAGAAGTGGATACTTATTTAAATGACGATCTCTTGTCTGTTTTTACTGGAAACATTTGGAATTGTCCTCTCGAATGGTGGCGCAAACATAGATTTACATATCCATATTTAGCACAACTATTCAAAAAATATGGAAACATTATGGCGACATCGGTACCATGCGAGAGGATATTCAGCAAGAGGGGTCTGATCATTAATGATCGTCGAACCCGGCTAACATCATCAAAAGTTAAGCAACTCGCATTTTTAAACATTAATCTCAACAAACACAGATTTGAATAATCTTACTTTTAATAACTAAACAATAGAAATATTTAGTGTTAAATGTACAGATCAGCAAATGGACTGATAAATACGCCTGCATTACTACAGACTCTTTTAATGCTGACATTCCTGTGAAAAAATCTCCACTTCAATAATTTTATGATTTCTTTTCCGAGGACATACTCGATGAAATAGTACAAAATACAAATTTATATTCCGTGCAACAAACCGGTCGTTCTATTATAGTGACGAAAGATGATATGAGAGATTTTTTTATCAATAAAACGATGGCGATCATTTCCGCTCCATCTTATCTAGATTATTGGGCGTCATAAACCAGATGTGGATTTATCGCAGTTTAATGACTCTTAAAAGGCACCAGCAAATATGCAGATACTTGCACTTTGTAGATAATACAGTTCCTGATACAGACCCATACTTTAAAATACGACCATTTATTGAAAAAAATAGACAGAATTGCTTAAGAGTAGAAGAAGAAAAGATCCAGCATTGACGAAATGACAATAACATACAAAGGTCGTAAAGGTGGAAAAAAGAAACAGTACAACCCTCAAAAACTACGCAAATGGGGGTTTTAAGAACCTAGTAAGAGCTGAAGTATCAGGAATCATATATGATTTCTTTTTATATTGCGGCGAAGATAGTTTTCGTTACTTATACAGGTTGTCTAATTCAATTTAAAAAATGTTCCCATATTACAAATTTTGTTACTTAGTCAAATTTTCTCCTTTTCTACATTAATGGCAATAAGTCACTATTTATGGAAGATACATTTATGAATTATACCATTATAAAATCTACATTAAACCGACCGACATTATTGTAAAATTATTGGTCACCCATACATTCATACATTTTTTTCATACCCAAGAGGTTTGAACTTCGCTTAGATAATATTTTTTGCATGTTTTTCAGAAATAAATTAATTTGCGAAATTTTTTAAATAAAAACTGCAAAAGCTGTTCATACTATTTACTTTATATCTATCAGCACAGTTAGTGTATAATAATAAAACAACAAAAAACCAATAGAAATCATTCATTTTTGGTCATAGTGTTCAAGACAGTGTAATAAGATAGAAAAAAATCAACTTTTCTTTAAAAAAATATAGCAAAGGTACTACTTGTGACATATTATGTTTCGTATTTTTTTCAGAACAGCCATAAGTTGTACTATAAGACATTTCAAGATTATCCATTCATTACCTGACACCCGATGTATTCACTTTGACAATGGTGAATGGTTACTCGGTTGAGGGGGGCTAAAGCTGTAATCGCGTTATGCAAAACTATTAAACGCAAGGCTTGCGTAGTATATTATTATAACTTTTTTTAGTTCTCTTGCTCTTGTACAAATACTGCGCCAGAAATACGGAATTTTCAGTCTTTGAACTATTAGATCTAATCGACTAACAGGCTGTGAAAAACTACTAAAAGATGACAAAACTTTAAAAAAGAAGAACAGGTGCTTTCGTTCAATTGATATGCAACAAAAATCGATTTTCTGTCGTAAAGTGTATGACAACAAGTTTACCCAAAAGAGACCAAAAATAGATATGATAAGATTAAGAAGCGTAAAATACCGGTAAATCATCTCCCCCAAATTGTGAAAAATTCTAATGCTCATATCGGAGGGGTGGATTTGGCTAACATGCTGGTGGCTTTATACAGAACTGAGATTAAATCAAGAAGGTGGTATTTGTCGATTTTTTCCCGAATGATTGATATTTGCATCAACAATGCGTGGCTAATGTACAAAAGAAATATGAAAAGGCTTAAGAAAAACCGATGATGCTAAAAAAATTCAGACTAATTGTCAGCGAAGAACTTATAAAATTTGAGAGACCTTCTTTGTCAGTTGAAGTACCATGCACATCTTCGTCCAAAAAGATTGCTGCACTGAAAAGAAACTGACCTTACGATATCCGTCGTGATAAAGTTGGCCATGAGCAAGACGGTACTACTTACGGGCGTTGTCGGTATTGTAAAAAAGGGCAAACAAATGTTTTTTTTGTACCAAATCTCAGCTTAGATTTTGTTTTATCCCAAATAAGCGAAACTGGTTTTATAATTTGCATAATGATTAACTTTTGATAATTTTTTCATTCCTATTGTTTATTTTATTTTTCACCCATAATGATCTGTGAGTTAGATATGTATGGTATATTATACTAATGTTTAAAGAGTATCTTTTTTTGAACATCGAGATATGTAATACTATATTATACTAAACATATCTAAAAACGCAAGCCTGATTATTTTATTTTATATTTTTCCCCTTTTTACTTTCACGAAATATAATAAAATAAATTAAAAAAAAACAGTAATTAAATAAAAAAAATCCTGCCAAATTAAGGATTAATGGTATATTGTACAAAATGCAAAAGTACATACTCTGGTTTTCATAATAGTACAGCATGCAGCAGACAAAGGAAGCTCTACAACCTCCCCAACAGTAGTAACTACCCCACCAGCAAGTGTCACTATTAGAGTAGATTGTACCAGTATAGGAGAAATAGACCTAGTAACTGCAAACCTTCCACTACTTATGAAACATAAACATTGTGGTGACCCTATTCCTACCTACATAAAAGCTATAGAAAAAGAGAGAACTAGACCCACCGGTCTTAAGAAAAAGGAGTTAAATAATTATTTCGATGCTAAGTATCTCTCTGGCCAATTTGAGGATTACGAGACTAAATGTGGTAGTCGCTGTGAAGGAATACTTAACACAAGACCAATAATTTTATCTGACAACATGAAACAATCAGAGTTAGTGGATAGACTGCAATTTCTGAAGTCGATTAAAGAACACTTTGAAACCGTTGCTTTAATTTCTTCTGATATGAAGACCCTCCAAGAATTGACAAATTGTATCAAAAAGTTGGAACAACAACAACTTTGAACTCAGTTAAGCCCGTAAAAGATAAATATGAATTAACCAAACCGGCATATGAGTCTCAACTGTCAGAGTTGAGTGCTTTAGAAGAAGAAATATTCCATATGAGATTCTACTCATTCAGTGTTGAGTTTCATGGGTCAACATCAATAAAATGTAATAGCTCTGGCTGGGATAGGAATAGGTACCTGACTGACGGTGCGGGTCAGTCTTGTCAACAAGGATTAAAATCAAAAATTGAAGGTAAAGGTGAGTGTTTTAAAAGTCATACAAATAATTGCTACTCTGGGCCTCATGATGAATGTGCTTTGGGGAATAATCCTGTAATTGAAGGTTCGGGTGTTATTTACTCCAAATCAGCAATTAAAAAAGATCAGATATGTTGTACACTAGACTGCTTCTCAAAGACAGAGTTATATATAAGCTTAACAGATCAACCTTTTGTAGCTCTTGCATTAGAGCATACTTCGGATTACTTTAGCATAATGATTGCGCAATAAAAGTGCCTGAGGAGCCTACCGAAGTAGATGACATTAAAATATACTCATACACTACAGCGTTTAACATAAATGGGTTTTAATTGCAGGAACCTATATAATTTTGAACAGCGTTGTGGTGGTAATGGGCCTGTAACCCAAGGTTCACACGTTGACTATATTGATATGTTGTGTGTCTGCAGAATAAGTAAAGTAAGTAATATTAAATACTTAGGTAAGGCCAAGTCAGTGATTAATGATGTGATAGAAAACAAAAGATACGTTAAAGTTGTCATTATTTTATTAGCAATATATGTTTTCCCAAAATTAACAGCAACATGTCTTATAATATTCATTTGGATTACTTATACAACCGCCTCATGTAAGCTTAATGACATGGTCCCATTGCCTGCTAATAGTAAGAATTATAACAAGGACTTGAGTTGGCCAGTACGAGTGCGATTAACTAAAGGAGATTGCATAGATGCTGGCGATTATACTTTAGAGATAGTAAACATTAAGAGAATAAGTAATTACAAATTCTTATCAAGCATGCCTTATAAGATAAAAGTGGTTTGCTCTGGATTTGATTGGGGATGTCATCTTGGCAAAGGTAGTTCCATCATACATGAAAAAGATAAGTGTGAGAAAGATTGCACTACAGGGATATTTTATAAACACACAGCAATTCAGTCTTACTTTGATGGATCAGCATGCGCTATATTGTCAGGCATACACACAAAGCTTACAGCCTGTTTTTCTGCAGGCAATCTTGGGTCTGAAGTCAAAATCTTTAGCAGGTTATCAATTGAGAGTGACATTATACTACAGACGATACGCTATCGTCAAGGAGTTGATTTATCTACAGAATTAAGTATGGATGACATTATCAGTTATATAATTAGTGAACCATCCCGCGACATGAACTTGTGGCCGTACATGGTTGCCATCAGGGGTGGGGACAGATTTTGTAGTTACGCCATGATTGACATTTCACAATATAGTCATACTGCAGATAGGCATGATCCTCTTAATATAGATGTGAGTTGTCTACAAGCAGTGCCATATTGGAACCCAGACCACAAAAGGTATGAGTTAAGTTACAAGAATAATGACTTCGAAGACTTAGTTCACTTGTCCTTCAGACATGCACCTACCGGTGTGGGCGCGTGGTTTGGCGCGGCTTGCCGTCCACCACCTGAACGCGCCCCAAAGGGTGATAGCCGTGAACATGGTTCGCGGCTACCGCACGATCTCCCGCGAGGCGGCGAGCCTCCTTGCCGGATTGCCGCCATGGGATCTGGAGGCGATAGTCCTCGCGCGCCTGCACGAATGGCGTGCGGAGGCACTATGCCGTGGGGAAACCCCGCTGCCGCGGCAAGTTGTCGCGCAGCGGACAGACTTCCGGCACGATCTCATGGCGACATGGAGACAGCGACTGTCGCAACCCCGTGCTGGGCACGCCACTATAGCGGCGATAAGACCCCTCTTTGAGGAGTGGCTTGAGAGACGCCACGGCATCCTCACCTTCCGCCTGACGCAGGTCCTCACCGGACACGGTGTGTTTGGGAGGTTCCTGCACCGAATCGGGCGGGAGGAAACGCCCGGGTGCTCCCACTGCGAGGATGGACCGGAGGACACGGTGGAACACACCGTGGAGGTGTGCCCTGCTTGGGCGGAGCACCGCCGTGTCCTCGTAGCGGCGATAGGCGGCGGCGACCTCTCGCGTCCGGCCCTGGTCGAAGCCATGGTCCGGAGCGAGACGGAATGGGATGCCGTCACCACTTTCTGCGAAGCAGTGATGCTAGCGAAGGAGGTGGCGGAGCGGGAGAAGGAGAGAGCAGCAGCTTTCCTCCCCGGCCGCCGCGGGAGACGCCCCGGGCGTCGGGGCTACGTCGTGGCCCCCGGCCACCGTAGGCGCGGGCCTGTGGACGGCGAGCAATGGGTAGCTCGTCGTCCGTCCGTCTAATGACGACAGGCCGAGTCGACGGCGCGTTTTGTTCCACGCGCGCCTCAAAGAGCTGTCAGCAGCGTGAAGGGGCCCGCAAGGGCCGACGCCTGCCGGGGCTGCGGGCTGTTCGAAAGAGATACCGCGGCTCCGGAACGTAAGGGCACTGAAGGAACACGGATGGTTTTTAGTCAGTAAAAGTCTGACACTCCCTTACGCTCCACCCAGAGCGAAAGGGGTCATTAGATTATTTTCCATCCGCAAAAAAAAAAAAAAAAGACATGCACCTAGTTATTAACGAATATAAAAGCTAACCGTACGTCCGAATTCAGATTCTGTTACTACTACATTCCAATTTAAGAGGTTTAATATTGCCAAATCCTTACCAAAATGCAGTAAAGAACCAACAGTAAAAATAGAAGAGGGGGTGCTTAGTTACCATCAGGCTACCATTATAAGAATTTTGTCAAATGACAATAAAAATGCATTGTACACATTACGATAGAAGGGTGTGAGTCGACTCAGGGACAATTTTTTGTATTACGCCCAAGTGTAGAATTAGTATCCGACTATTGGTGCGCCAACAACAGTACTGGTCTCATAACAATAACTGGAGAGATAACATTTAAGAAAACAGGTAAAGTAGCAAAAAACTTCTTACCTCATAGGCAACAGCTAGAAAATTTAGTAGCATCAACTTATGATAGTGTCAGAGGTAGTATATCGTTGGAAGCGATATTATCCTCATTATCAGGTATTGACATTATAGGTTTCTTTAATTCAATTTATGACTATTTCCACATTAATGTATATAGTATAATTGGTTCTGTGTTATCATTATTTATAGTTTATAGAGCAATAGTAACTTTCGATATAGGATTAATGGTCTTTGGATCATTATTACTACATATTTGTATCATTATCAACTAGTGATTTGCTTGTTGGCTATTATATTTGTTTTTGCTTGTTGGCCATTATATGTGTTTTTGCTTGTTGGCCATTATCAGATTATTACAAACTTTATTGGATACGGACTGATTTAATAGAAGATGTTGTAATAAATACCACTTTCACAGTTGTGAAAGAGTTACAAAAGACTGCAGCTATTGTGGTACCTAAGACTGCTTTGGTAGCAATCAAAGCTACTAACACTGCAGCCAACACTATCTTTGTCTTATTATTATGTACAATTATGCCATTTGTAACTTCACTAGGTTTAATCATAATTTTACGAATAGTATGCAGATTGTTTATAAACAGAAATATTAACAGGCCAAAACAGTATTATTAATAACTTTACCAGGTATGCCATGGGTAGGAGTAACCATTTATAGGACTTTCACTAACAAAATGTCTAGAATATATATATAATATATATATATATATATATATATATATATATATATATATATATATATATATATATATATATATATATATATCTACAAATATATATATATATATATATTCTACAAATGTCTAGAATATATATATAGTATTAGTGAAAGTCCTATAAATGGCTACTCCTACCCATGGCATACCTGGTAAAGTTATTAATATGTCCTGTTTTAACCTGTTAATATTTCTGTTTATAAACAACCTGCATACTATTCGTAAAATTATGATTAAACAACATCAATATAAGGCCAGTCAAATAATGAGGGATATAGCTGCTCCAATACTTTATAGCAACGGGGTATTAAGTTTTAATTTCTCTGAGCCTAAAGAAGGTAATAATGAGTTTGAGAATGGCGTAGTCTTTATAAGAGGTGACTACTTTTACACTGCAGAATATTGTGGTGACGAGAAAACAAAAAAAGAAGAATAGATCCATGAGAGATGTGTGTACAAACGACCCGACGATAATAGTTGGCTCAGATCTAATTGAAATTATTGGTATTGAATTGGGAAAAGGAAAGGCAGGTTACGTTGTAGTTCAAGATAACAAACATTTGTTATTCCAGTATATGAAAGGGGGAAAGCAAAATGGTAGAGTTTTGTTGTTTAACAAAATCAGAATATCAGCTGAGGATGGAAAAAACACAGCACAATCAACTAAACCATCTCAGGAAAGTTCAACTAGTCCTAATCGAAGTACTAGTAAAGACTGTAGCTGTGTGAGCGGTGAGTATTACAACTACTATTGAGCTAAATTTGAATTGAAATAAGAGCATAAGGACTCGCGCATCAGGTGGAGAATATTACACTAATCCATTCAATCGCAGTTACACAGTAAGGACTATAGGCGGAAAAATAGGACTAGTGTACCCTGATTTACAGGCATCACACGTAACTGAAGATACAGTACGCCATAGAGATGGACTAGATTTACGTGCCAACCTAGGTGTAAACTGGTGTAGAGGAAATTTGGAGAATTAGTGTTTATATACCTTCGAATACAAGTCAAACATGGTTTAGAGTTAACGGTATAGACGACTGGGTGTTATCTCCAGACGGTAAATGTCTAGCCCGTTGTTTAGTCACAACAGGATGCCAGAAACAATTAATCAGTGGTAGCTTAATTTATATAAAGCGCTGGTAGGGCTTTGGAATTGATAAATATGTACCCATTGCCGTCCTGATTGGAAAGTCAGGTGAGAATTACATAGCAAGCCGACCTATGCATGATTATGTATACCTGCATTGTAATAAGTTCAAAGAGGCAGCAGCTAAATATGATCATATTGATTATCTAGTGGACGACTCAATATTAACTTTACAGTTGAATGCTAAACAGAAATACAGTTTAGAGTATACATCAACTGCAATTGATGAAGTTGATGATGAGGGTATAGATGATGATTTTAGAACATTCGCAACAGAAAACCACGAATTTGTAAAATATTTAGGCCAAACATTTGTCGATTATTTCTTAAAATTAGAGATACAGTTTATGGAGTTCACATCAAGTAATTTTGAAGAGCTTAATCAAGACAATAAGGAAAGTTTAGCATTATTAATACAACAATTATATGAAAAAGGCGACAAGGTTGAGAAACTTGAACCACCAAGGTTCAATGAGGTTCAATTTACTAGTAACTATATAAGTGAACTAAAGGAACTAATAGATAATTTCAATACCAATTTTGAACAGTACATAAATGAAACATAAACGAAATACACAACTACATAAACAATAATCACACCGTAAGAATACAAAAAAATCATTATTAAATAGCAACTTCTGGGATGATCATTCATACAGAGTGCTAGTTATAATATCATTAAGACGCTGTAAACCTTTGAAATGTCATATTGAAAAGGATGTTGTAATAGCAACCTATGATAAGGACTTAGATTTTATAGCCGCGTTAATACACTTCCTTCTATATAAAGGTGTAAAAACAATTCACCTAAGAGTGCCTTCAGATGACATCTTTTTGTGCGAATTTGAGAAGCTTATAAATATGCCTTACTGGGTTGTGCCAAATAGTACGATATTATTTGAAATTACATTACGCAAAATACTAGATTTAGCAAAGACATACAGAACCGAAAATATGATTTATCAAGATTGGGTTCATATGAAAAAAATACTTTCCAAAGAGAATAAGCGAGCCTAGTCACTCTAAGTATCATATAGGGATACACTATACAAGTTGTTTGGTGGAGGGTTATCCAAACTTTGTGGGCGTGTTGTTGAAGACCCTAAGAGCCGGTTCACACTAGTCGTAAGTCGCATATGACTAAAAGTCGAATGCTCTGGTCACTATACACTTTATATGGAGCTGTTCACATTGGATGAGACGCGATTTTTAGTCTAATACGACTCAAAAAACCATCCGACGGGTCAGCGCCCGTTGTAAGACTAAAAATCGCGTCGAATCGTGCTCGCATAGGTGCCTGCTTGTTGCTAGTTGTTGCTAGTAGTTTACACTAGTCGTGCATCTAATCGACTCGAGCGCGTTGTTACCTCTCTTCCCACCCCGCTTCCTAGTTCGCGACACATTGCTTGCTCACTCCATTCGTGTTTTATTCGTCGTGTTGGTTGCGCGCGCGTTGTTTTTGTTTGTTGTGTAAAAATGGAGAAAGAAATAAAACCCGAAGAACTAGTTCCATTAGTTCACGAAAGAGCAGAACTTTGGGATAAAACTTTAAATGACTACAAAAATAATAATCTGAAACTATTGGCCTGTCGCGAAATGTGTACCATACTAATACCTAATTTTGAAAACATGGAAAAAAAGAAAGACAACATTTCGGTAAGTGCCAGTAAAGTTTATTAACTATTATACTACCTAGTTATGTATTTACAGTTGTATTATTAATTTTTAACTCATTTATATTATGCGTATCGCGCATTAGTTTGCCAAGGCAGCGAACCAATCGGGGAAGTAAAATAGTCTGCAAAGTCCGATCGTATAACATTTGCAATCGGACCACCACGAGGATTATGTACTCTCTGTTGTTGATCTTGTTCTTGTATCGATTGTACTAATGCAAGTTGAATATCTTCAAAGTTTAGACCATCCCTTTCTCTTAAATAATTATGCAATACTGCACAGGCTTTCACAATATGGATAGCTGTGTCTGGGTGGACATCCAATGGTCGATGCAGTATTCTCCATTTATTAGCTAAAATTCCAAAAGCACACTCAAAAAATCTTCTTGCACGGCATAATCGATAATTAAATATTCTTTTCGTATCATCCAAATGATTGCCTCCGAAAGGTCTCATTAAATTTGTCGTCAGGGGGAAAGCTTCATCGCCAACTAGTACATAGGACATATTCTTTTCGATTGTTTCATGAAGAGGCCTTGGCTTTGGTATGTTTAAACTAGCATCATTCAGTTTCTTCCAAAAGGTAGTCTCCTTGAATATGGAAGAATCGCATTCTTTCCCATATGAACCAACACTTATATAAATGAAACGGTATTCTGCATCAACAACAGCTAGTAAAACAAATGAAAAATAACCTTTGTAATTGAAAGACATCGAGCCGCTTTGATTTGGTTTCACTACTCTAATATGCTTGCCGACGACGGCTCCAATACAGTGTGGGAAGTTAGCTTTAATATCAAAACCATTTGCGATGTTTTCCCATTTATTTTCATTGTGGGGTAACTTCATAAACTCTTCTTTTAATGTATCCCAGATAATGCAACTCATTTCTTTGATAATTTTATTATAGTACGGCCGCTGAGTTATTACCGATTTGACTTAAATTGAGTGATTTAAATTAATCGATATAACCTTGCACAAGCGACACATTTGCCGAATGATTTAGAATACCTCTTTAATATAAAACTTTATGTCAAAATGTCAGAATCAAGTAATTTTCCAATAAACTCTGTTTCAAAACTTAAAATAGTTTGTAAATAATATGAAAACATTTATTTTTTGTTCTTTGGCGCGCTTGTACAAAGTTACATCGTGCGTCTAGTTTTCATAGTGATGTGCTTGATAGTATTCGGTCCGAATTCATTGGAATAGATATGATATTTATTTTATTTGGATATTTTTATTTTACTTATTCCTTCGAGCAACTAGACTATAATGCTACCATTTTTTTGCGTCTCCTAATTGCACTGTGTTTCCAGTATCTCTATGATTTTTAAGATTTATGTGTGTTCCAAAGACAGAAATACTGTTTTCTATGATTTAAAAATAAATACAATTAAAATGATTATGTATAATTTTTAACATTCATAATATATAAAACAACATTTATTAAATATAATTTTCTCCCTCAATTAAGCAATGTTATAGGTGTATTTTTTTAAGTAATTGGCGATACTATTCTGGCAACACCCTTACCACCGCTATTTTAATCTGTTTAGTCGTCTTCCGTACTCTCGTACGCACAGACTACGTTCTCTTGTGTAACCGTTGTTTTTTGACTCAGCTTTCTCCTGTTTATCGTTGCGCTTTATTGGACTAATTTTGTTTGTGTTTGGTAATTTTGTTTAAAATGCCGAAACGAAAAACATTGAATAGTCAATGTCGTGAGCTTGTACTAAAGCTACAGGATTACTTTGAGCGTGAGTCACAAAATGGCGGCCCTTTGATTCCTGTCACTCAAGTGAAAGATCGGGTTTCACAAGCTCTTGGAATTGGTGCAAAAACACTATATAATATAAATAAAGAAAAATTTGGTGCTTCTGGAAGTGAAGATAATGTTTTACGCACTCCTAAGAAAAAACGAAGACAAAAGCCCGTGACAGGTGTTGATTTTTTTGATGCAAATGCAATAAGAAACCACATATATGGTTATTATACTAGGAACGAGTTTCCAACTAGACGTTTGCTTTTGGTCTCTTTAAAAGAAGCTGGCTTGTTTAAAGGCGGTAAAACGGCGTTGTCAAAACTATTGCACGAAATTGGGTTTGAATATAAAAAAACGAATAAAAGGAAAATATTAATGGAAAGATTTGATTTAATAATTAAAAGGAGCGAGTTTTTAAGAGAAGCCAGAAAAATCGAGTATTGGGACAACGTCGTTTTTGTTAACGAAACATGGTTAAATGCGAACCACACTGTGTCACGCTCTTGGACTGACGAAACAAAAGCATCAACCTCAAAGGTTCCAATTGGAAAAGGATCGCGACTGATAATTTGTCACGCCGGTTCTGCTGGAAGTGGTTTCTTTGAAAATGGACTGCTGGCTTTCGCGTCAAAAAGTACTTCCGATTACCACGAGGAGATGGATACAGACACTTTTACGAATTGGTTCGAAAATCAATTATTACCCAGCCTGCCAGAACCTTCTATCATAATAATGGACAACGCTTCATATCACTCGAAACAAGTGAATAAAGCGCCTACTCAGGCCGACAAGAAAGCTGATCTCGTAGCATGGCTACACCAAAATGGGATTGAAACTACTGCCGAAATGCTAAAGTCTGACTTAGTAAAGTTGGTACGCGAAAATAAAACATCAAGAGTCCGTTATGAAGTAGATGAGATAGCTCTAGCACATGGACATCGGGTACTTCGAATTCCGCCTTATCACTGCCAGTACAATGCCATTGAGCTAATATGGGCACAAATCAAAGGTATTGTTTTTTACCGCATAAGTTATGAATATGAATAATTTGTACTATTATAACATCCAATATTCAGCATATAAGTAAAAAGATACATAACTAAGAAATAAATATCTCATGTCCCTTACATGTAGGTAATTGTGTAACATTTCGTTTATTTAATGTAATAAATTAACGTTATTTAATGTTTACATTACAGGTTACGCAGCTCGTAATAATACGACTCCGCCATTCAGTACTAATAAAATGATGGGTCTATTAAAAGATGCTTGCAGCAAAATAACGAAAGAAGATTGGGTCAAGGTCGTCGAAAAGACTCGAAAACTAATAACAGAAGATTATGAACGCGATATAAGAGTGGACACCATTATAGAGAATGAAATTGTCATACAAGTGACTGATAGCGATGACAGCTCTGGCGAATCTGGTTCAGAGGCTGAATAATTGTTTTAATAAATGATAGGTAGTCATTTATTAAAACATCTTGTACCTACTCTATTCATTAAAATGTGTAACAGTGTTTTACTTTGATATGTACAAATTTGTTTTATTTTGATATGTCCTCGACCAATTATCTACGCCCATCAAGGATACTCCACCTAATAAAGAACCTGTGTCTTTAACTATTATTGTTTTGATTTTATTTAATTACACACTATACTAGAATATTTAAAAACAAACTGTTCCCAAATGATATTAGGGTTACTGGTTCAGTCACTTCACTAGTATTGTCAATTCGTCATGTGTCAAATCGGTAATAACTCAGCGACCGGACTATAACAGTTGATACCCCGACTCTGAAATTGTAGTGCAGGTCTTTGAAGGAACATCCTGATGCACAATATCTGAAAATAATGTTGCAATATAATTTCAGGTAAATTAGTATTGACCAAGTGGACGAACTTACGGAATGTCTGGATCCGAAAAAACAAAAATGATGAAAAAAAATCAGGATCAGGGGCAAAGTCGTCAAAGCCATATGTATATAAAGAGCAAATGGATTTTTTGCGTAAAGTTGCTAGACCTAATCCTCCTCAAGAGTCTGTTTCGTCGCGTATATCTCAACCAGGGACAGAAGGCAGTACTCAGTTGTCTGAAAATTCGCAACCAAGCACTTCTAAAAGACAAAAGACCATGCCACCACAGCAACATATAATAGGACTTAGATGTCAAAATGAACGAGTTTTTAGATAGCAGGCTATCACAACAAACTGATCCCCCAATTTTATCATTTTTTAAAGGTATCCTACCCTCTGTTACGTCTTTCGACGATGACGAAACGTTGGAGCTTCAATCAGGTGTATTATCACTGATGATGAGACTTTATGCAAATAATTATAATTACGCGCGTGATAGCACACGGCGATTGGGGTATTCGACACAGAACTATAATTATTTATCTACCGATGAATCCGGATATTCCCTCTCAAAACCAGGCTGTTCTTCCACCACATGGGTCTGGATATGAAAGACGTCAAACGTATGAGGAAAGATCGCCTGCTGCATCTACTTGGTCGGAAAATACTGAATTAAATTTCTCCGATTTTTGAATTATTGTAATATGTTGCGCTGTTTACCTACTTAAAATAAACAAGTTAAAATAACTTTTGTTTCAATTTCAATACACCTAAGAAATCACACTACAACTGCTACAATCAGACTACTACACTACAAATACAATCTGAATATTTGTAGCAGTTGTAGTGTGGTCCTAAAAAAAAACACTTACCTAAGAAATATCGACAGTCTTTCTTCAGGACAAATGCAGTCTCTAAATGTCGTATTCCAATACGTGATGCCCGCAGAAACTCTTGACAGTAGGTCGTTGAAAGTTGCTTGTGACATTCTAAAATAATTAAAGAATTTTCGTTCGTCATTTTTTAATTCATGTATTAAATTTTTATAACTTCCTAAAGTCGATCTTTCTGTTAGGATTGGGTGCATCCAGTATTTTCTTGGAATTGACTTTTTTTTCAACTTTTTTAATTTTCTTTGTAAGTAGTAGAGCACAACAAGTTCTTCTTCGGCGTCCATCTCGTGAGTTCGCTACGTACCGAATGGCGCGAAACTACGACCTATACGACTCGCGACGCAGTGTGAACATGTACATCAGACTTTCGACTTTTTAGTCATATGCGACTTACGACTAGTGTGAACGAGCTGTAATTGTTCACATTTTTATTTAATTTTTTTTTTTGTAATTTTCTAGTATTTTCCAAAATTTTACCTCCTTACCCCTACTAATTTTTATGGTACATGTTTTCGATTGAACTTTTTATTTGATTTTGGTCCCAGATGTATCCTTGATCTATCGAAAGCATTGTTAATCCAAAATAATGAGTAAATAATTAGTTATAGGCTCACAAAATTAAGAAAATAAAAATATTAAGTCCAAAAGGTCAACTTAGCATAGTTTTAAAAAAACTAATATTGATCGAGGTGTTCAAATGTTTTTAAAAACTTCTTTAAACATCGCTTATTACATCGGTTTATTACATGGAGCAGAAAGGTCGATCAACTTGTCAAAAATGAACACATAAGGGGGAAATGGAGCGAAAAGCTAAAAATAAAACATTGTAAATATCACTTCCCTATTATACAGTGTGTCCGGTTACCGGTGTCGGAGCTTTTAATGCTATAAAATATAATCAATTTCATCGACAAATCATGTCTGAAATCTCATTTAGACCTAGCTGTATTTAAATGGCAGCCATTTAAATTTTTTAGTGTCACCACCTCGACCCCGCGCATTAAAATTACAATATTCACCGATGTAGAAGTTCTACATTCTTAATAGATGTCTCATTGGATAGATAAAGATACGCGTAATAAAATAAATGCAAACTTTTAACTGCAAAATTGTATTTAGATCCTAAAAAGACTTAGAAAAGAAAAAAAATGTAAAAAAAAATCGGTTATTTTTTTCACATTTTCGACTTTACTGAAAAAAGTAAGTCATTAACCTAATGATTTTTTACATTAATTAGATAGATCAGAACATATCCTAACCAAAAACATAAAAATCTTAATTGTAACCAAAAAAAAATCAGTATTATAACTGTTTGAATATGACCTTTGAATAATTTGTCGCCCTGGTTGCAGACAGACAAAGTGAATTGATGAGAAGAGTGAAACATAACATTTCAAAATGCACGTAACTAAAAAGTTATTTATAAAAACTGTTCGAAATGACCTCCACGATGTTGGAGACATGTTGTAGCCCTTATTGCCACATGTTGAGTTGCACGTCTGATCATCTCCCGATCTTGTGGCAATTCATTTCCAACTTCGATTATTTTATTAATCAACTCTTCTCGTGAGTTTGGCACGTTCGCATAAACTCTTTGCTTCATAGTGCCCCATAGAAAAACGTCTAAGACCGGCCATAGACGGACCGCATGTTGCAGTCGAGACCGACTGCTCTAGAGCGGTAGCGTTGAAGTCGTACACGACTGCAACACGACCGCATAATGCAGTCGACTACGACTGCTTGGAGCAGTTGTGTTCGACCGCAAAATAATACTGATGCGAGTTCATTTACAAGATGGATTTCGATGAAGAAACGCTGCTTCTTGTACTACTATTACGCAAGCGTAGGCGTAGAAGACACCGTAGTATGTGGGTGCGTCCAATACTACAATCAAGAGAACAGCATGGAATATTTCATACTTTGTATTCTCAGCTAAGAGAAGACGCTAAAAAGTTTTTCAACTATTTTAGAATGTCCGTGGTTTCATTTGATGAATTAGTTAGTATTTTAAGCCATAAAATACAACGGACAAATTCCAAAATGAGAAAAAGCATTGCACCTGAAGAAAGGATCGCAGTAACATTAAGGTAAGAAACAATGTTTTTTACACAAATTTTATTATACGCAACATTACAGTGTATTATTTCAAATTATCAGAAAATGCTATGTATCGACGACTGCGATGCTTCAGTATCAGCAGGAGACAAAACATCTGTTTCTTCAAGTCTCGTAGTTTGAAGTGGTCGACTGGTAGATGCTTGAGGAGGTCCAGTACTGTAGCCACTACTGAAATCATCATAGCTTGGCTGCGAGTAGGATGACGATGACTGATGGCTGAACTGCGAGTATGAGGGCTGGTGATAGTTAAACTGCGAGCGTAATGAGGTCTGATTAGAATATAAATTGACGTCAGAGGATAACACTTTGTATTTTTTATAACTTTCAGTATGTCTGTCTTAGCATCTAATTTGTAGTCGTCAGAAATTTTTTTTAAAGTCACCGTGTAGAGCCATAAGAAATAATTTGTCATCATCGGTTTTATCATCAAATGTAGTTTCGTTGTATTTTTTATTCAAATTTATCGCCAGTTGTGTAATTAAATTGTCTTCTTTGGACGTACTAGTCCTCTTACTATGGTATTTTTTATATGTAGTTATTTTTTGCTGTGGTATTTTCTCTTCAGTAACTGCATCTTCAGTCGATTCATTTTCCAAACTATCTGCAGTACCAGCTTTCTCCTCCGTCAATGGCAACAAGAATGACAACTGATGATAGTAAACATACTGTCGTAGTTTAATAGCTCCCGAGCCACTCTTATTTTTTTTGTTTTATTGACATAACGTCTAAAGCCATCTCTTAACACTTTCCACTTCTTTTGAAGAGATTTTGCTGGAAATAAAAAAAATTTTTTTACAGATACTTGGCAACAGTGTGCACTTTCGCTGAATTAGAATACAACTATAGAATTTCGGCATGTACAATAGGGGAAATAGTGAAAGACGTGTGCGAAAATATATGGAAGTATATGAAAGATATTTGTTTTGAAGCACTAACCCAAGATAACTGGAAAAATATAAAAAGTGGTTTCCAAAGACGCGCCAACTTTCCAAACTGCTTGGGGGCGATCGATGGTAAACATGTAAGAATTATAAAACCAACTGATAGCAGTTCCTTGTACCATAATTATAAACACTATTTTTCTTTAGTGTTGATGGCCGTCTGTGACAGTGACTATAAATTCACTTTCATAAATATTGGATCATATGGAAGACACGCTAACTCGACAGTATTTGAAGACACTGAATTCTACAAAAATCTACAAAGAAACACGCTGAACATTCCTGCTCCTACAAAAATAACAACAGGTCCAGTTTTGCCTAACGTATTTGTCGCCGACGAAGCTTTCGGTTTACAAGAAAATATTATGAGACCTTTTGGAGGAAAACTATTGCCAATAAAAAAAAAAATTTTTAACTATAGACTGTCTCGGGCCCGAAGATACATCGAATGCAGTTTCGGCATACTTTCTAACAAATGGCGCATCCATCGGCCATTAAACGTGTCTGTTGAATTATCTAAAACGATAGTCAAAGCATGCTGCATTCTTCACAACTTTGTGCGTGAAAGAGACGGCTACAACTTCGAAAATTGTTTGACAATAACGGGTTTTGAAGACCAAGCATTGCAACAAAACGTCCAGCAAGGAGGACCAGCGCTGAACTCTATCCGGGATAAATTCGCTGACTACTTCCTAAGTGAAAAAGGACAATTAGATTGGCAATGGAAATTAGTATAGCATATAACTATAACAAGCATATTATGGAAAGAAACCGCGGATAACAGCTTTAAGATTGTTTACTAGAAATAATATTTGAGCTAAACAGCTAAAATTTAATAAAAAATTATGTGTACCTACTTACCAATATCATTTTTTTCCTTTACACTTTTTTCGTTGAAATCAGGATCAAATTTCTCGCATAAGGCTCTCCATGCACCATCTTTCTTTATTTTGTCACTGTTCAATTCACTGCTGTAGTTCCAGATACATTCGTTTTCTTTAATTTCATTAATAAACAATTCGTCGTCTATATTTTCGAGAACTTTCGCCATTTTGGATGACAAACGAACAATCGACCAACATAAACAAAGGAAGCGAGTCGAGTGCGTGAGGTTTGTAGGGGGAGTGAGGCGGGAGCGGACTGAACCGGTTGCCTGCCGAGAGGAAGGGATGGGTACTCAGCTGCGAGCGGGGAGGGAGTGGCGCGCGGTCGGCAGCAACCGCTTGTAGCGGTCCGTGTATTGTGGGTCCGGCAGCTCTAAGCAGTCGACCGCACGGCGAAACTCGCCCGCAGAGCGACTGCTCCGACCGCTCAGGAACTGCTCGAGCGGTCCGTGTATTGCGGATATGAATTTAGTATGGGAACTGCAGATCGCCGTGCGGCGACCGCATGTTGCAGTCGGTTTCGACTGCAACATGCGGTCCGTCTATGGCCGGCCTAAGGGAGTTAAAGCCGGTGAACGCGGAGGCCAAGCGATCCTTCCACCGCGACCAATCCACGGCGAATAGCGCTCATTTAAATAATTTCGCACATTTACTGCAAAATGTGCAGGTGCACCGTCAAGTTGGAGAATCATCCTTGCTCTGTGACTTAATGGAAGCTCCATTAATTCTTCCAAAAACTGTGTTTGCAAAAACTCTAAAAATCTTGAGCCATTCATAGTTTCTGGTAAAATTATCGGCCCAATTAAAATATCGTCTTTTATTCCAGCCCAAACGTACACTCGAATTTCATGTTGGAAAGTACTTTCTCTAACAGCATGAGGGTTGTTTTGAAGCCACAGATGCTCGTTACGGTATAACCCGATCTCGTGAAAGTGGCTTCGTCAGTCCACAAAATTCTTTTTAAAAAATCTGCATCTTGTCTTGTTCTTCTACTGATCCACGAACAAAAAACTGCCCTTATAGAATAATCAGGTTCGCGATGTCTCGTACCCGCCGAAAATGGTAAGGATGCAAACCTTCCCTCTTTAAAACTCTCCACACTGACCATTTTGTTAAATTAAGCATATTGCTTATTCGTCTTACATCGAGTCTGGGATCTTGTGTAATTAAACGTAATGTCTCTTCTTCCTCATCAGGTGCCACAAGCCGAAATCTTTCATTAGGCGGGTCTTCTGATCCCAAGTTCAGCTATCCGCAAATGTATCCTTACTAAAGTGCGAGCATTTGGTGTAGGCCTGTTGGGAAACTTTCTGGCGTACTCTGTGACAGCTCTGTTTGCGTTGCCGTTGCACAATCCATTACACAAAGTGGATATCAGCGACATGCTGGTTTGAGTATTCACCATCTACCATTTTTGAAAATATCAAAATAACTAGAAACTTCACCACAAACTTAAAAAGTTCCACAAAACGGAATTTTTTTTAACAATAACAACAACAAGCGATCTTAGAGGGGCAAAAGTAGTGTAATCACAACGCGTGGCGAGGGACGACTGTTTTTGTTGTCCCAAGTACACTTGTTTAGAACATCAAACAATGGGCTTTGGATTTTTTTACCTGCTCTTGAACTATCATAAATGATCCTGCACGTGCAGCTTGCGCTTTTAAGAGGTCGTGTTTGATAAAGTACAATTCTTAAACTATTTAATTTACAATTAAGATTTTTATGTTTTTGGTTAGGATATGTTCTGATCTATCTGATTAATGTAAAAAATCATTAGGTAAATGACTTACTTTTTTCATAAAAGTCGAAAATGTGAAAAAATAACCGATTTTTTTTAATTTTTTTTCTTTTCTAAGTCTTTTTAGGATCTAAATACAATTTTGCAGTTAAAAGTTTGCTTTTATTTTATTACGCGTATCTTTATCTATCCAATGAGACATCTTTTAAGAATGTAGGACTTCTACATCGGTGAATATTGTAATTTTAATGCGCGGGGTCGAGGTGGTGACACTGAAAAATTTAAATGGCTGCCATTTAAATACAGCTAGGTCTAAACGAGATTTGAGACATGATTTGTCGATGAAATTGATTATATTTTATAGCATTAAAAGCTCCGACACTGGTAACCGAACACATTGTATATAATATAACAATAGGTATGTAGGCTAAATTAGTAAAAATTACCTTCAATAAATTATGATTTCTTATCACCTAGGCATCTGACAGATGTTTTCGAAAAAACAGGAAATCGATAATTGTAATTGGTGCGAGGCAAACATTCCAAGAGCAGGTAAAAAGCTTTTGTTTCGCTTAGTACATTGTGCCGCATTCTTGTCTCTTTCTGTCATGGGATATAAGACCCACAATCCTTATCTGTAGCGGTACCGTGGCCCCCGGTTTGTTTAAGCCTCACGTCATGGATTAAGCCCCTTACATGCCTGGATAAGAATTTTTGAATTCTTACTTCACTTCAGATACAAAAATAACCCCGCTGTTATGAAGTGGAGAGTTACTAAAAATCACCGGAAGCCACAATAGTAGAGGAGCGGAAAAAAGAATGCATATTGAAATAAGAAACAAAATGTCACTTCTGGTTGATGCTGTTCGTCAAAATTTGGGAACAACCAATGATGACACACAGCACGAACAGCACTATCAGACCAACATCGCCAAACATTTGCAGATATCTTAGGTATAGAGACCTGGCTTGTGGATGACCTCCATAGTTTATTAGTAGTGCTGTCGAGTGGCTTAATTATAGATGCCGCAAAATTTGACGACTTTTTTAAGTCTATAGCTGCGAAGTATGTAGCAAAATACAAAAATGTGAACAATTAAGGTCTTCTACTTCAATTTGTATTTAACAAATAAGTCCACCTACACACCCACCAAATTTGTCTAACCCTCCACCAAACAGCCTGTATACTTTACGTACGTAGCTAAGTATCGAGTCAGTATCCAATTTGTCAAAAATCGTCGCGAAACTGGTATCGAAATAACTGCATAATATCGTCAATATATAATTTCAGAAAATATAGTGTTTCGAAATCCGACATGAAATATCAATATACAATGTGTTAATTTTATACTTGATCAAACGAAATATGCGGATACTAGATAAAAAATTATCGGTAAAAAAATAAAAAAAAATGTTTATGTATACTATTTAAAAAATAAAAGCATTTTAATTTTTTCCCATGCCCATCCTTCGGTTTTAGATTATTTTCTCTTTAAGTAAACGGTGTATTTTTTTTCAAAGTAGTTTTATTTGAAAGTTAGAAAGATTAACTAGGAATAAAAATTAAAAAAAAACCTATATCAAGCAGGAAATTTGTAAAAAAAATAATAAGATAATTTTTTTTGTTACAAAAATACTTTTTAATTTTTGGTCTGTAACTTCAAAACTAGTACGTTGAGATAACTTTTTTTAGCATGTTTTATTAAACTACATAGCTTACTGTACAAGTTCTCCAAAATAACATGCGTTCTATCTCTTTTCGTTTTTAAAATAATAATCATCAAAGAATGCCATCGGTATGTTGATTTGCGCTTATGCGCCGCACCTACCTCTAATTTGAACACCCCTGGTCGAACAATAGCAGGTAAAGATAAAAAGAGATAGATCAATGAAAGGCGAAACAAGTGAGTGAGAGAGTGAATTGTCGTTTGAATGAGATTTGGGTCTCGTTCTCGTAAAGCACGCAGGCAGCTTTAGCTATTTTAAACAGTTCATCTTGTAACGTTACCTAATTTGCACGTTGAATACGCTCACCATTTTTTTCGTCGTTATGCCTTCTACGATAGACTCATTGTCTGCTCGTGAAGTAGCTGACATTCATTACATTTACGGGTTTTGTGATGGCAACGCTCGCGCCGCCTCTCGAGAGTATCATCAGCGATTCCCGACAAGACCTGCCGTTGACTACAGGGTTTTCTTAGCAGTACATCGAGAATTAAGTGAAAATGGACTGCATAGCCCACATCGTGAACGTGCTCCTACTGTACCGGTGGATGTGGATGAACAAGTGTTGCGTTTGGTGTACCAAGACCCCACAATTAGTACTCGACGAATAGCACTCTAATTGGGGATTAATCACGTCCAAGTGTGAAGATTTTGAAAAAGGAATGTTTGTAGTCCTTTCATTTTCGAAGAGTGCAGAATTTGCACGAGCCAGATTACGTCGGAAGAAGTGTTTTCTGTTGGTGGCTATTGCGGCAAACACGATTAGTCCCGAACTTCTGTGACCGTATTTTGTGGACCGATGAGGCAAATTTTAACAGAACTGGAATCACAAATTTTCGAAACCTTCACTTATGGATGCCGGAGGAAAAAAATCCCTTAGCAGTTCGGCCAGCGTCCTTTCAAATCGAATTTTCGATTAATGTTTGGACTCGAATGATAAGTGATTACTTAATCGGACCATTTATTCTTCCATCAAGGTTGACAGGCCCAGCTTACCTAACATTTCTACAAGAAGAGTTACCTGACCTGATGAGTGATATGGATCTACAAAGAGCAGGATGTGGTTTCAGCGTGACGGCGCTCCAGCTCACTTCAGCACCATCGTGCGTGATTATTTAAACGAACGATACGGAGACAGATGGATTGGACGAGATGGACCAGTAGCGTGGCCGGCACGAAGCCCTGATATGACCCCCCTCGATTTTTTTGTGGGGCCACATGAAACGGATTGTGTACAGTACTCCAATTAGTACAAGAGAAAAATTGTTACAAAAAATAATGGCTGCGGCTAGTCAAATAAAAGAAAATCGTATTGTATTAAAAAAAAACAGTACGTAGTGTGGCATTACGTGCAACTGTATTTATGGATGAAAATGGTGGTCATTTTGAAAATTTAATAAATGAAATCATTTTTCTACGGTTTTTTTTTTTTGTTTTATTCCATAATTTTGTCAATTACATCATTATCAAATCACTTTTGAATTTTATGCTCAGATTACCTTATTTTTAGTGATTATCTTAACAAAGACAAGACATAGAACCCATGTTATTTTGGAGAACTTGTAGAGTAAACCATGCAGTTTAATAAAACATGCTGAAAAAGTTACCTCAATGTGCTAGTTTTGAAGTTACAGACCAAAAATTAAAAAGTATTTTTTAACAAAAAAAATTTAACCTATTATTTTTTTGACAAATTTCCTG